AAGTGAGAAGTACTCCCTTTCAAATTCCTAACATGTTTTGAGACCATGTAAACCTCATTTGAAATAGAGATGTTGACATTCGCTATGTAGGTTTTTAAACTTTGCATGCAAATAGAACAGGTGTAGGTACAAATGCGTTTAAATCATTTTTGCTTATAGATATTATTTCTGGAATAATAATTATAGATATTATTCTTAAACTAATATCTATGATGAATTCAAAAAGTCAATAAAACTCAAATAAATAGATAAATATGAAGTATATGCCCAAAATACCCATCTTAATTTTTTAAATAAATATCAATCACTGAGAAAAGATAAAGGTACATTGTAATTATTGTATACAATAAAGAAAGCATAATCCACACTATGGATATCGGAGGGTTTTAACTAATCCACATTTTCATTATATTTTTGCATATTACATTTATCAGTTACATTACTTTCATATAAGTATCACTGTCAGGTGTCAGCTAGCAGGTCTAGTACAATTTTTCACAAAATCGATAAATCTACCAAAAAATAAAGAGATTCTACTTTTTATCACTCAAAAGAAAATAAACTGTGGCAAAAGATGTCATGTGACAGCAATGGCCTATTTAGCGCCATATTTTAAAATGGTGTCAACTCAGCACAGTGCTTATTTCTTGTCAGAGCAAAGAGAATGTCCATATTGATGTATCTGTCGAATTACCTGTACATCCAACACTGCCCAGATACCTACAGAGGAGACCTATGCTGCCACCTAGACCCTAAAACCACCATTTTAGTCATGATATTCTCAAACTTTTTCCTCACTTCATCCTCTGTAAATACCATAATCAACCAGAAGACAGGCAGCTTGGCAATTTTAATGTAAATCTGAAGATGAATCACTGTTAATTGTTTGCATCTAAGCACCAAACATCTTCTTGACTGTATAGCCAGGCATGGCATAAAAGAACAAGACTAGAAGGGCCACTAGTAGCGTGAAGACCAATATTTTTATAATGAGCCACTTGTACGTGTTGCACAGGATATAGCGGATTGACTTGAGTGGGTTCAGAAACCAGATAAAGCTGGTGTCTGGGCGTCTGAAAAACAAAAAAGTAAACACTTGTGATAATCTACACTGTAAAACATTCACAGTCATTTAAACTTTTTAAAAAATTTATTTGAACTTTTTACTAGTTGACAATCAACTTGTTAATAGCCAGTGAGAGGATAAAACTGTTATTTTTAAACTTTCCAGAAATTATTTTCACATTTACAAATGAGACAGAATTTTGACAAATTAAATTTAATGAAATGTGTCTGTTCACATGTTTACAAAATACAATTCTTTCTGCAAGCCTCAAAGTACAAAGAGATCTACTGTGGTGTAATGTCCTAGACTTTAATTAGTGGAAAATGCACAGCCATACAGCTCACTAACCAAGCTCATCTTATGATTTCATATACTACAATAATCTGAAAGAAATATTTAGTAAGAAAAAGACATATAAGAGAAATCTCCCTTTTTTCATTGCCAGATAACTGAAAGAAACAAATGAAGAAAATTATTTAATAATCTAAAAATGGGCAAAACAAGGTCAAAAACATGCATAAGAAAAAAAATAAATAAAAACGATATACAGCTGAATGAAGAGAAATTCCCTAGATCAATATTCACATTGAGGATCATTAGTGATAGTCAGGAGTCATACTTTTCAACAAAAGTAATCAAAATGCTTACATGATAGGGATAAATATGGAATTTGGTATATAAATAAAGCGTAAGTAGGAAATCAAGATAAACTGAAGTATAGTATCAACTACTGTTGAAAAAATTTGTAACAGCTACTGCATTCATATTAACATATAACCTATTTTAAAAGTAACTAAAATTAAGCCTAAGTGAGATAAAAATTTGGTTGTTTGTGATAAAATAGACAGGGCTGGCACATGCAAATAACATTTAGCAGTATACAGTTGACTTGATACTGTGTGGTCGCAGAATTAAATTGGTGCTTCATTTTTTGAAAGACTGCTTTTGAGACTTTAAACATTATTGCTATGATTTCAACTCCATGAAAATCTTATTTAAATGCTATTTTATGTTTTTCAATAAAATTAATTTAATTCTTTATTTTTAAACTCAGGCTTGATTTGCACCAATTCAATATCTTAGAATAGAAGATAATCATGGCATTTCAAAACCAAAATTTAAAAAAATCTTTAAGGTAGGGAAGTGCAATTCAAACCAAGTGCATATCTACACCTTCAGATTGATTTCATTTTATTCAAAAAATAGATTGAAGCTCTAAGCTGAATAAAAAGTTAGTACAAAGCTGTGGGTGGGCTTCACTCTAATAGACATCACATTTTTAACCTAAATATTTTGTATAACATATATATTTGCAAGATAAGTCTTTAAGTCTAGGTTTTTGAGTTCTATGAAAACAGTTTTACAATTTTGCAATACAAAATGTAAATATTTTGATTTTTGAAGACTAAAAGGCTTTTGATGAATGGTTTTACATTTCCATGTCACTTCTCTACCTTCATAAAAGAAATATCGAAAGATCAATCTTATATCAAAATCAAGAATTAAAACTGAGGGGTTTGTATACAAAGTTACCTAGAAAGTCACAACAACTACAACTATGTCCAGCTAGGCTCCCATGATCTTCTTGACGGTGTAGCCAGGAGCATTGTAGAAGAAGAGGGCAAGGAACAGGATGAGGAGGACAAGAATGGTGAGTTTTATGATAATCCACTTAAACTGGACACAGACGAGATATTTGAGAGATTTCAGGGGATTCATAAACCACATGAAGGATGTATCAGGGCGGCTAAAATAAAAAAAAAAACATCAAAAATAGGTTAGGTTGGAGTACTGGTTTTGAAATATCAAACTGTCCATTGGATAATGGCTATTTTGTTTTAATTTTTGTTGTTATTAGTTAATTTTCAATGTAAGTACCTATCCTTGCTTAATACATTCTACATGTAAAACCACACTAGGAATATTTTCTCTCCAGTACGCATTCTTCCACACTGTTGTCTTGTTGGAGCAGGCTATTAAAACAGCCTTGGGTGTACATACAGAAATTTTCACTAATATACCAAAAGAGCAGTATTCTTCATTCAAACTTTAAGCCTTGGTGATATAAGAACATTAAAGAAGAGCAGGTATTGCTGATGGTATGAGTACTAAGCAGTGTTCAAGTTTAAAGACACATTCTTACCTGGAGGTGTGAGTAATAGGCACATTAGTCTATACTCTTATTAAGTAGACCACGGAAAATAATTTCAAAAGCAACAATGCCTTAATGAGTAAAATGGCCAACAGAAGAACAATTGGAATGAAACTTACTTTGGTTTTTCTAGAGGATCTGGTTCACTTCTGCCTAGACCAGCTGGATGCTTCTCTGCCTCTTCTGCTGTTATTAGGTGCAACTCAGCTTCTACCTTCCCCTTTGATATGAAAAAAAAATCAATCATGAAGTAGCTAGAGGCAAAAAAGTGTTCAATAGGAAATTTTTTAATTCAAAGTGGATATTTTTGTATTATTTGCTCTTTTTTGAAAGGGGGACTGGCATTCATCAAATCTAGTGCATGTATTAAGTGTTGGCCCTTTATATAGCAAAAATCACATTTTTCTAGAAATTTCAACATTTTCCCTTCATCAACAAGGAATACCATGTCCAAAACAAAATCACTATCTGTGTACTGATATAAAATGATTATTGAGTTCAAAGTTTTTTTTTTTTTATTTTTGAGCCAATCTTGTAATGGAGATGGAGATAGAGACTGGTAACTTACACTCGTAATAGAACAAATTTGAAATTTAGTTTTTAAATAGATTTATAGATTGTAATTTTCTCAACTATTTTAAATATACATATAGGATATCCCTTAGATTAAAAGGGACAGCTGCTGAAATTTCCATGAACTTATTTGGCATACAAAGGTCTCATATGCATTGTAAGCTTTTAATTCTTCTACATAACAAACATACTGTTATCTCTAGATCATCATTCTCAGCTGACTTAGCAGTGAATGGCCACCAGCCTTTGACTCTCTTGTGCTTGAAAATAGACATATGAGGGGCATCTGGCTTCAGCATGTCCAGCGTGCACTGTTTGGCAGATTTGGCACCTCGAGGGAAGTGGTTAAGGTCCAAAGTCAGGGAACCTGAATTATACATGGCCCACCATGGATTACAGTTATCTCATGATTCATAACTTAGACATTTCCTTATTTGCTGTAATTTTATCTTAAGAGCAAAAAAGTTTATGAGTATTTACTAACATGCAATTCTCTACTGCATCTGGCTTTTATGTTTGCAATTATCAGTGATGTGTAGATTGACAATATTAAGTGTATGGCATAATACAATTTATTTCCATTTACCTAAGAAATCATCAGCAGAAAAATGATCAGCATCCCACACTTGCAGTTCTAGCCGTGCTGGGATCTTTGTCTCTGTCTCATCCCAGGAGAACATGGTTTCTTTACGAGATATCACAATCTTCTCCTCAGCCATCAAGTAATCAAATGGGAAGATGAACCTCCAGTTAAAGTTGCCCTCTCCTGTCAGAGATCTGGGAAAATACATCACTGATAATTACATCTAATATCTTTGCTCTTTATAACCTATTTTATTTGTTTCAGTTTTTGAAAAAACATAATCACAATTTCACACTATTAAAAAACCTTAAATTAAATAATTAAATAAAATTATTAAAAGATGGTACTTTCTTTTATGTATAAGGATTTTATATGTAAATGTTAAAAAAATAAAAAAAAATATATTAAAAACATTTATTCAAGAGTCAAATATTACCTGTAATGTATATCTGTAGACTGGTTGTCATCTGGTCCCTTGAACCAGCCTTTGACATAGATGTCACTCATCTTCTCTCCAGTGAAAAAATCATCATCTTCCATCACAACTTCATCTGTGTTCCAAATTATGCAGCGTAATTCATAACTGAAATAAAATAACATCCAGAAGAAAAATAATATATATCAGTGAAAAATTTATTTCATCATAACTTACACAGAGACAATCTCTTAAAACTAAACAGATAATTTAAGTAAAAGCAAAATCAATTTCCCTAAACAGGCCCTAAACAGAGCAGGAAGTTAGGGAGGCTGAATGAACCACCTTTTTTGCCAGGAACAGCTCTGCTCTATATCAAATTTATCTACATTCTATGTCATTTTTCAAGTTGGGTCAGAATCGGAAAAGGTCTAATCATTCAGAAAAAGACCCACTCCCTTTCAAATTGATGGTTACAGGCCTGGCTAACACTAAAATGAATGTCATGAAACCTAAAAGACATACAACCGGTTCATGATACATGTGTTTACCTTTTTGGTTTCCTAGGTGACACATCAACAGGTGGACCAGGCGCAGGCATGTCCATGGGAAACAGATCCACCCATAATTCTATTTTACCCTTCAAAAAAAATCAATATTTAAAAACAATGTATACATTGCTTATACTTCTACAACTACTAATAGTTGGCTGATTTGTATGTCAGTTGGCTAATGGTAGACTTCTGCATGAATGGATTATCATTTTACATAAATACTCCTATCATTATCCCCATACCTGTTCAATTCCTGGTTTCTCAGGGTTAAACAGCGCCCTGGTTTCCACATGTTCTGGTACCAGCTTACAACCAGATGGTATCTCCTCCCAGTGGTGGAGCACTGCCAGGGCCAGGTGTTCATCTACGTTTTTGTTCTTCTTTCCTGTTGATTTTTCATTTTAAACATAAAATGACCATATTTAAGTTCATAAAAGTAGGGAGGTCAGGTCAACTTTGATAGTAACATAAATATCAGCCAAAATGGTCTCATCTGATAGAGCAATTCATGAGCTTTCCAAAACATTTTATTTTTTGAAAATCAAGCAAGCCAATCAAAAGTTATTAAATTTAAAAGAATGCTAGTCGGCCACAAAATTTTGAAAAAGTCTTGTATGCAAGCATATGTAACAGTGGAAGCCAAAAGTGTCACCTAATTTCCCAATCAACTAGAGGATCAGAGAGGCGATACCGCCTCCGAATATTGTACCACCAGCTGGAGCAAGCGCATTCGTATAGACCCCCACATACACAAAATAAGGGACACAGCCACCAGTTTTGTGCTTGACAAGCTGTAAAAATGCAATCAACAAGAATTTTTAAACTATTGCAAAAAATATATATGGTACAATCAAATTTAAGTTCTTCGTAAGGTAGGTCAAGGGTCAATTTCAAGGTCACAGTAAATTGCCAGTATATGACTTCCTATTCAAGTTCAAGAGTAACTATGGACCTATCTCTGTCAAGTTTGAAGTTAAAAGAGAAAGAAATTAGCAGAGTTCAGTTCATGATAAAAAGTAGGTCAAAGGTCAATTTCAAG